CCATTACGCAGTTATACACTCACGCTAATAACCGGAGGTCGCCGGTTCGATTCCCGCCAAGTGAGGATGTTTGTGTTCCGGCTCGGGGAGCTGAAGGCGTACTTTGGGACCCGCTTGGCCACCGGCTGCGGCTCACGTGTTTCGGGAGCACCTCTGACCGCCAGCCCGGGAATGGCGATGATCGGGCCATCAACCCCGGATTCACATTTTGTTAAGTGAGGGAATAATGCGTAATGGCAACCAAGCGCTTTGGTTGCCATTACGCAGTTATACACTCACGCTAATAACCGGAGGTCGCCGGTTCGATTCCCGCCAAGTGAGGATGTTTGTGTTCCGGCTCGGGGAGCTGAAGGCGTACTTTGGGACCCGCTTGGCCACCGGCTGCGGCTCACGTGTTTCGGGAGCACCTCTGACCGCCAGCCCGGGAATGGCGATGATCGGGCCATCAACCCCGGATTCACATTTTGTTAAGTGAGGGAATAATGCGTAATGGCAACCAAGCGCTTGGTTGCCATTACGCAGTTATACACTCACGCTAATAACCGGAGGTCGCCGGTTCGATTCCCGCCAAGTGAGGATGTTTGTGTTCCGGCTCGGGGAGCTGAAGGCGTACTTTGGGACCCGCTTGGCCACCGGCTGCGGCTCACGTGTTTCGGGAGCACCTCTGACCGCCAGCCCGGGAATGGTGATGATCGGGCCATCAACCCCGGATTCACATTTTGTTAAGTGAGGGAATAATGCGTAATGGCAACCAGCCGCTTTGGTTGCCATTACGCAGTTATACACTCACGCTAATAACCGGAGGTCGCCGGTTCGATTCCCGCCAAGTGAGGATGTTTGTGTTCCGGCTCGGGGAGCTGAAGGCGTACTTTGGGACCCGCTTGGCCACCGGCTGCGGCTCACGTGTTTCGGGAGCACCTCTGACCGCCAGCCCGGGAATGGCGATGATCGGGCCATCAACCCCGGATTCACATTTTGTTAAGTGAGGGAATAATGCGTAATGGCAACCAAGCGCTTGGTTGCCATTACGCAGTTATACACTCACGCTAATAACCGGAGGTCGCCGGTTCGATTCCCGCCAAGTGAGGATGTCTGTGTTCCGGCTCGGGGAGCTGAAGGCGTACTTTGGGACCCGCTTGGCCACCGGCTGCGGCTCACGTGTTTCGGGAGCACCTCTGACCGCCAGCCCGGGAATGGCGATGATTGGGCCA